GAGTGGTTAAGCATAAAGTCAAGTGTGTTATTCTCATGACACACAAACTATAGACTAGTTCATATATCAAGATTATAACACAATAACTATACTCTAGTTCATAAGTATGACTATAAATGTAAGACGAGAGTATGATTTTGGAAGAACTCATATTTCTATTCATACCCAAAGGTCTCTTCTTCCAAGGAGCCAAGCTCTCCAGGGTACCTTTGCCTTGCTCCAAAGCTAGTAAAAAGAAAGTAAAACTACAACTAGAGAGTGAGGTGTGAGAGGTGTTGCACAATGTGATGTGTGTTGTAGAGGGGGGTATCCCTCTATTTATACAAGGAGCTAGGCGGTGCTGGAGGCTATTCCTAGCGTGAAGAATGAGTTGCACCGCCTCTGCATGGAGGCATGCCACCGTCAGAGCAAGGGGTGGCCGAGAGGCGCCGATAGGGAGTCGCCCGCCCCTAGGGGTTGTCTGCCCCCTGATCATTTCCTCTCGCCACCGTCTTCGCACGGTGGCTACGGACTAGACATGGATCACTCCTTGGTGGTGCCTTGCCTAGTTTTAGTCGAGTTGATGGGCGTCTCCCTTAATCCTTTGCGCGAATCAGCGTCGGAAAGCACCTTTCAGTGATTTTCTCCATGTATTTGTGTTTGTGACCTGCAAAACAATATCCTCCAAATACATGTGGAACTTGGTTAATAGTAAATGCATATATGTTTAAGATTGTAAATTTTTTTCTCCTCTTTTTTGTGCCTTAGTTGGCGGTAGGATTTGATCGTTAATGACCGCCAACAAGGACGCAACGGTTTATCCTGGCTCGGACCAATCGGTGCCCTATGTCCAGCAACTGATGATCCTTATACTCAAAAACCCCCAAAATTGGTGGGTTACAACAGGGTTGTAGAAAGATTTGGTAGGGGGTTAGCTCGGTGCTAATCCTAAGGTTGCCTTGCCGCCGGTGGTGCCTTCCCCTCGTCGAAGAGGAGGAAGATGATAGGATGCGGGTGGAGAGGCTCTCGGTGCCCCTCCATGGGTTGCCTTGCTCTCGATGCTGAGCAGAGGCTAAGGAATGGAATGGAGTGATCTGAGTTCTCCTCCCCCCTCCGAGGTCTGACCTTATCCCTTATATAATGAGATAGGTCGAGTACATGGCGGTTTGGGGGAACTAGTCTATGGTCTATATGCGTCGGAGTCTAGGAGGGCCTTGCAGCAATGCGTTGTGGACCGTGGAGGTGTCGTAGAGCCGAAGAAGCCTTGGGCGTCGTTCGGCTGCTCTGTTCTGACACTCTACGTGTTAGGCTGTGTCGGCTTGGACCGGCCTCCCCCGGGTGGACCTTCTGGAATCTTCTTGGCGGTGATGGAGGTCGGCTCCATGGGCTGATGCGCGGGCCCGAGAGCCCCCGAGCCTCTGGAGGCCACTGGGAAGATTTGTCCTCTTGTGTCACGCCCTGTACGTGACCTTGTCGAAAAAGTGGCTGACAATGCCGTGCCCAAGGGGCAGCGCCGGGGAGCCCCCGAGCCTCGGTAGCTTGGGGCTTGTCTTCTTGTGCCCGTGCCTTGGCTAGCATCATTTGCCGGGCAGGAGCCATGGGCCAGACCAGAGTGTCAGCGTTGATCGAGAGCTTGGGGGCTCGGGCAAGCCACCGAGCCCCAAGCAGAGGTCGCGGTGGAGTTAGGCTCGGCCGGGTTTCTTCTCAGAGGGTGCGCGCGAGCGGACCCGATGGGTATAGCCCCTAAGCCCTCGGGCGATCCTGGAGAGGTCGGTGGGGGGTCTTCCTTGTTCCGGAATCTTCGAACCTGAGGCTTAACATACCCATATGTTAGGATCTCGTCAACCGACGCATTTAATTTTTAGAAAGGACTATTCACCCCCCTCTAGTCTGCCATCTCCACCCTACAGGTTATAAATACCCCCATGGCCAGCCAAATTGGCACGGTGAGAGCCCAAGGGATTGCTATATGAGTTGAGACTCAATTTTAGTTGCTTTAGCCACCAAAGTGCTTAGTGAAACATTCGATGATTAGCGTATGTGCTTTGCGAAGTGCTTAGGTTAGTTAGACCACCGCTTATGCGCTTGCTCTCGGTTTAGGCCTAGTGCTTAGTGAGGTTTGCACACCTCTTATCACTCGGTGCTTGTGCGCACCATTGTTGTACTCGGTGGGGCTTGTAAGTCTTGCAAGACCACACCAACCGCGTTTGTGGTGTGGCCGCCACCGTGTACGGAGGGAACAAGGCCCATGGCGTTTTGGCCGGAAGCTTGATGGTGAAGATGGCGGGGAGTGATCCGGAAGAGGCACCCCGAAGACCCACTTGCGCGTGGGGAAGGCCCGGGGCTATCCATGGAGTTACCCGACCGAGAGCTTGGCTCTTACGAGGGATTCCTTGCGAGCGGCTCCAACGAGGAATAGGGGGAAACTTGAGCGCTTCTCGATACCTCAGTAAAAATACCGGAGTCATCGACGGGAGTTTGCATCTCTATCGCCCTTTTACCTTCCGCATCTATATTATGTACCTTGGTTGTGTGCTTACTTTCTTAGCTTAATTTGATAGGCTAGTTGATAGGATTGGAACCTAGGGTGCTTAACTCTTTTGTGGTAGAGATAGCAACACACCTAGCAAAACCGTAGTTGCACATTTAGATAGTTTATTTATTACATAGTTTTGCTAAGGCGAAAATTAGAGGTCATAGTTAGAAGTAGAATTTAGGTTGCCTAATTCACCACCTCTTAGGCGTCACGGTCCTTACAATACTAAAAGAGAGTTAGATGCTACAATCACAAGAACACAATAGACGCGGAAAACGGAACTGCCATGTAAAAGAAACGACTACCAAATTATATTATAAAAGAAAAGAAAAAACTACATGTTTGATTTATTTTAATTAAGTAAAACCAGAAAACTAATTCAGATTAGTCAAGTTATATATTTTTATTTAAAAACAGGATTAAAACTAGTCATATTTTATTTATAAATATTTCGACATCATTTATACCGATTAAACTTTAATTTGCAAATATAGATTGATATGCGAGAGCATCTAGTCGAATTTAATATGCGTGTTTAAACTAAGCAAATTACAATTTAAAATACTTACATTAGCAATTAATCATATTAGTATTTATATGTATAAAATATCGGAGTATTATACCTATGTTGCTTTTAATTACCAAACTAGTTTTATTAACATTAATCAGTTTAATATTTAAATTATAAAACTAAAAAATATTTAGCATGGCAAATATCGTTACTAACACGTAGACCACGTCAACACGAAACTAAGGTCCTATTTGGCAGAGCTTACCGAGCTGATTCTCTACTAAATCCAACGGGAGCTCTGCTAAACAGTTTTTGAGAGAGAAGTAATTCTTTGTTGATTCCATGAAGTGATCCTCTGAAATGAACTAAGAGGCTAGGAGTTGAAGAAAGTAACTCCTGATTCTGTGAAGTGATTCTTCACTATGATTTTGAGAGTGTATGCTAAAGAATAAAAAAGAATCACTTTCAACGACAAAATCACTTTTCTCGTGAAATCAAAATTAGATAGAGCTCTACCAAACAGTTGGTCAACTTAATTTGAATGAAGCAAAAAGGAGAAACTACGTAGTAGCTCCTCCTAATTCTGTGAAGTGATTCTTCATTATGATTTTACGAGTGTAAGCTAAAGAATCAAAGAGAATCGCTTTCAGCGACAAAATCATTTCTGTTATAGAATCAGAATCAGATAGAGCTCTACCACACTTGGTCAACGTAATTTGAACGAAGCAAGACGGAGAAACTACGGATACTTACGGCCGAAACTAGCTGACAGCCGGTTCGGCTTCTGATTACAGGCAGGAGGCAGCAAAAGGCGTGACTTGGTTTCCTTTGGCAATGAAGAAGGACGTGCAGCAGCTGCAGATGAACACAACACCACCTCAATTGTTTCATGGTGGTTTGCCGCTGGCTTGCTGTTGCGTTGCTGCATCCATTAGAGAGGATCGGATTTCTGAACTCCATGGCTGGACGAGATCGAATGGGCTTCGTTGGCATGCACGGGGCTGCTTGCTTGCAGGCACAGGCGACGACAAGCAATGGCACTGCAGAAGCAAAGGCAAAGCAGCAAACCAGCAGCGGCATGCAGATGGAAATCAACGGTGTGCAACAGATTTTGAGTAATCGTCAAAAGGGACCAAGGAGATTACAAGAAAAATGATATTGTCCTTACCTCCGGCAATGGATCAGCACGTGGGTTTCAGCAAGACGCCGGCGATGGTTTCTCCCGTTCTGGTTTGTCGTACAGCTTCATGCAAAGCTCGTGGCTCGCAGATCGGCCGGCAAGGAAACCAATAATCGATGGCGGCCTGGAGCAGACATGAAGGGCGATGATCTGATGTGGTTCGTAATGGTAGCGGCTGCCTCTGAAGGTCTTCGATGCGGATGCAACCGATCGATCGGAATCATCTGGGCAAAGCAGGGCGCCACGCACGGTATATATGATCCTACCAGTATTTCTCGTCATTCTCACCCTGCGTGCGTCCTACCGCATCCTAAACGCTCAACTTAAAATGAACAATGAAATAGCCTGATCTTTGGTTCACGCCCTTATATTAATATAAGACCGACCCCCAAAGAAAAGATGATATAGATCAGACACCAGAGATAGAATGATGAATATATTTACAGGAAGCACAAAAACTCAGTAGGCTCCTTCCTACAGGATACTATATGATCTCGACGCTTGCCCGCACCGATAATAACATGAATAGAATTATTACAAAAAACTGGAACAAATCACGCTAAATTTAAGCGGTACTTTACACAAAGCAAAACTGCAAATTCTAGTCACACTTGCGTCCAGAAAAAATAGCAAGCAGAAACCCACCGACGTGCTATATGTTCGCTCCGACAGATGCCAATCACAGGCACAGCATGTTCATGGTGCCTCCGCTCTGTGCCTGAACTACTCGATCGTTCAGCAGATACCAGTCACAGGCAGCATGCAAGCTCACTTATCATGCCATATTTTGCGCCTCAACCATGCTTGGGCAAATCCATGAGTGTGACCGGCTTTGTGACGGTTTCAACAACAGACACCTCGTTTCCATCTGTTACCAGGGCGGTAACATCTATAGATGCACCAGTGCTCACCTGGATAGCTGTGGAGCACTGAGCACTGCTAACTTCTACAGCATCTGCCAAATTGTTGGCCAAGGAACTTGAAGATTCGCTTGCTTCATTTGTGTTCAGGAATAGGCAGACAACAGCACAGTCATCGATTTTAGAAGTGGGGAACCGAGTTCGCCAAGCACGGTGAGCTGATTCGACTAGAAATCGTGCTGCAGAGGCCCGAGATGAGGCTCGGCTGACAGTACTAACAACTTCATCATTTGATAGCACGTCCCAAACCTAGTGCAAAAGGAAGAGGTCAGAACAACCTAACAACACTCAGAAAATGGTGCGTAAGTTGACAATCTGCTCACCCCATCAGTAGCCAGCACAACAAATTCATCTTTTTCTGTAATGTGGTGATAGGAAACATCAGGCATAGAAATTACACCATGATCCTTCAGACAGAAGTCCCCAAATGCCCTAGCCATGGCCAATCCAGGCGAGTTATACTTTGGAAGCCAAACACGAGCAACCTCCGGCTCCTCAGGAAGTGCAAATATTCTGCCCCTGCGTTGCCTGATTCTCTGTGCTTCACCTGAAATTACCATGCCATTCCTCAACAGAATAAGGAAGGAACACACTAAATATAACAACTCTTGCTACGAATCATGTATAGGAAGTTCTGAAGTACTTTCTGCCATGAGAAAACGAAAAATATTTGCATCCTCATGTCTGTACAATTGAATTAGCATGTAATCTTACCATTACAATAAAAAGGGCGTACCGTGCGGGGTCTGGGGAAGGGTGTCAGTGGCAAGCCTTACCTTCGCCTGTGCAATGCGAGGAGACCGCGACTCGAACCCGGGACCTTCCGGTCACAGGCGGTAAGACTCTACCGCTTGCACCAGGCCCGCCCTTCAATCTTACCATTACAATGCTAAAACATTATATTTACACCATGCAAATGGATTTGGAAATCATGGGCTCCTCTAAGATGAAAATGTTTCATGTGATTGGCTGTTATTAAACGATGATGGACAGCTGATAGAATGTCTAAGAGAGGTCTCCCTCATCCTCCTCACAGTCCTCTTTGTGATCAAACTGATGCGAGCATACATCGCATTCTCGTATCTTGCACTGTTTCCTGGCAAGTTTGGCTCACCATCGTCCAACCGGCTGGACTTGACAGGATTTCACCTACTGCTGATACTGAGTTTCTCTAGCTGGTAGAGTCAATCTCTCAACCAAATACATAGACAAGCAACTGAAGAAAGGGCTTAAGTCGCTAATTATTCTTGTTACCTAGGAGCTTTGGAAGCATCGTAACCATGTTGTTTTCAATGTCACCGCCCTAGATGCCAACAAAGTTGTGGGGGCAGTCAATGACGAAGGCACTTTATGGTGCACAGCAATTGCTAAGGAGCTCCATTGCTCCAGGGTCTTTTCCTGGGAATAGCCTAGGTGTTTTTCTGCCTATGTGGCATGTTCATTACAACGACTATTTCTAAGGGGCCAGCATAAGGGGCTGGTGTTGTACGGTTTTCTACTTAAATGAAATGTATGCCAGCTCTCCAATCTATTTGAGGAAAAGAAACAATGCTAGGTAACATATGAACAAAAATAATAGTTTGTCTTCCACACCATCTCAACAGTCAAAACACAAGCAATCCTTGAAACAAAATTAAGCTTATACTCCCTTTGTTCCTTTTCGTTATGATGGTTTGGAATCCATGAGGTCAAACATCTCAAACTTGGAATGCCAATATTTAAAATAAGCAAAGCTGGATATATGAAAGCTACATCATTGGGTTTTCACAACAAATACTTTCATAATACAAACGAGGATAATGTTCTGAAGGTAACTGTTCATACTCAGTTCTTTTTTATTTATCATCATGAAATCTGGGCCATTGAACTTTCAAAAGTCGACCATTTATATATTTATTATTCTCTGTACTGGCTAAAAAAATTATATTACTAGATTTGTCTTTTGAAATTCTTTAATCGTAGCAATAACAGCAAGCAGAACAGATTTGCCTCCTATTCAAACAAACAAATTGATCTATGGAAGTGCCCAGACAAATCTTATCTCATAAGGATTATTATTTACTCCTTTGACTCATAAATAATAAAGACATGAAAAAAGATAAAAAAATGCCAGTTAGTTCATGGATTAAGGCCACATAATGTCACATATAAGCAAATATAATGATGTTCGTAACAGAAGGAACTTGAAACAGCACATAAGGATTGCGCAAGTGCAAGAATGATGAAAGGTTCTAAGATTTGCAAAATGACTAGCGATACAGTAAAGGACAAAAGAAAGAAAATACATGATTACTTGGAATGTTAGGTTTGAGATCAACTGTCAATTGAACAGCAACAAGCTGGTTATTTTCATCTCTGGTGCCTAAGACAGCTCTTGAATCCCCCAGATTGCCAATTATAAGATTGCGTCCCTGTAGTATACAGAAAGAAATAGAGCACAATTAGTATACAAGGATGCAGCTCCAATCACCTGGTGTCAATTTAATGAAATCAAAGATATTTCTAAAAGAAAATAAAACAATAGTGTCATTTGTCTCAGTTACCTGCTTGATCACTGCCACCGCTGTAGTCCCACTGAGAAAACAGTCAATATTTTTATGTAATTTGAGATCCCTATCCATTACATGGAATGCCTTCAAGAATGAAGTTCTCAATGCTGGGAAGATCTCTGGATACTCTCCATTCTGCTGAGCTTCAGAGGAAACGGCAGTACCTCCTCTCTCTATGTGTTCTGGTGAAGTTACATCATGTGTGTTGAGCTTAATGTTGCCAGTGGATGTTACTCTACCATCTTCCATCCCCAAATCTGCTCCTAACTTTAGAGGCAGGAGATCTCGTACTCTCTTGGCAACCAAATGGCCATAAGGTCCATGACCATCAAACACACCACAAAAGATGGTATCATCTCTCGAACAGAAGTTCTGTCCACGAGTAAAAATAGTTGTCAAAGTCAAACATATGCTGCACAGAAATAGCAAGAGTAGCAAATTTTACACGTGCCCAGTAAAACTGGACAGGTACATGGAAGATGGTTTCTTGTTGGGAGTTAAGATTATCTTTTCAGTGAGACCCGTGTGCAATTTTTAGAGATTACTATGGTAGTCAAATCATGAAAGTTATCATAACTTATGGAAGGCAAATATGAGTTCGAAAAAATAAGATAGGATCCGTACATGTGTCACTCAATGGGCATGCAGCCAAATTGGTAATCAAGCATTTGGAAAGGGAAGGATGGGGCTTGAAGCAGATAAGATCATCCAGCAAGGAGATGGAGAAGGGAAAAAAACTAGTATTGGATAAGGATGAGAATCATGTGGAGCCCCTCCAACCTCCATGAAGTATTCCAACTCAACACCAATTATTACGCTTGAATAAGACTACCAACTAGGAATTCTCCACCAGCAACATCCAATGTCAACCAGTGTCAAATATATATATAGGATTTGAGTCAAAGTTCAATTCTTGAATAGTTTCATGCTGTGTGCTCATGTTGCGTAACTCATAAGAACATGCATAAGCTGTGGCCACAAAAATAAAACAAACAATTTCCTGAGGCTAACATCAAGATCAAAAATTAGCTTGTACAGCAAAGTACAATCTGAATCTGAACTTCTCCGTCGAATAAAAATCTGGAACACAGGATATGTCAGGTAAACTAATCCAGAATAAGAACAAAATTGCTTAGATCTTGGGAAGATCTGATCAAGAACAGTGGGAAAAATTACATCAAGAATCTCACAGCACAATAAGTGTGAGGAAAAGTACAGACAAGAAAGCAGGGAAAAGATAGCACTTTTTTCTCTTTTTTCTTTAATTTTTCCTTTTACCTCCCAGAAGATCATAGCATCCTGGTTGACGCCCTTCTTGCCCTGCAGCGTGTACAGTGACGCGACGGCGCAGGCGCCATTGCCGGCGATCCGGCCGGGGGTGGCCCTGAGCTCCGCCGCGAAACGCCGGGCGTCGGTTGGCGCGGGCCCCGCCCCAACCCCGCGAGGAAGCGGCGGGCGCGGCTGCCGCTGGGGCTGCGCCGCAGCCCATGTCATGCCTAACGCGCCGAGCAGGCTGAAGAGGCAGTCGAAGAAGTCCTCCATGCATCGTCCGCTGCCGCCAGCGGCGCCGGCGCCCGTTCCAGCAGCTCCCGTTCCATCTCCTCCCGCCACCGCTGGCCCCGCGGACCGGGTGGTGACCATGGCGACGGGCGCGGCGACGGCGAGCGCGACCAGGCGCTGGTGCTCCCCTCCGCTGCCGCTAGGCCGCCGAAGGCTGGTGCCTGGCCGGCGCCCGGCGGCGGCCTCCACCATGCACCCGCGGCCGATCCGCGCCCGGCGCCGCGCGCCGCCGCCCGCCGAGAAGCTCCGGCCTCCGACGCCGACGGCAAGGGAAGCAACTCAGCAAGAGACGGAGGAGTGAGGCAGAGCGTAGGGCCAAGGGGCTCAGACACCAAGAATGGAGAGGGAGAGAGCTGCTGCTAATTAAGCGGGGATTGTAGTGTAAAAAGAGGAATTTTATATCTGCCGCAATGCCGAAAAAGGGCACAAGAACACGGACACGGGACAAGTCAAGCAGCGCAAGTGCGCAACGAAACCCAATCCCCTGTGTCTCTCTCTGGATGAGTATAGTATAGAAGTGGTCGTTAGGAAACAAGCAGCCTGTCAGGCTGGGGTGAAACAATCGTAACTGGGACAGTTTTTTTTTTTCACGCAATCCATTCAGCAGTACTTTTTCACGAATCAGCCACGAACAAACCCAGCCAAACGAACATGCTGAAGAGACCTGCGTAATCCCGTACTTAAAAAGGCTCTTAGCAACGAACCAATTGATTGATTACTAAGGCGCTACTCCAGTCTAGAGAAGGAGGAGAGGAGCCAAAACGAGAGGACGAGGCACTGCGGTGCTTTTCCTGTGTCTACTCCAACTGCAATGGAATGGGAATCCGCCTCTCGCGTCGGAGGGGAGGGGGAAAGCGGTGGGGGGCGAATCTGAGGCGACGAAATGCAGGGACCGTGAAACGGTGTAGAGGGGAGCACGGGACAGGGACGCAAGGTTGTCGGAGGGGGCTAAACTTTGTCTGCCTACTGCCGTTCCGGCGGATCAAGTTTCCGTCGCGTAGCAGCTGGGTAATAGGGTCCGTCATGAATCATACAACCTGTTAGGACGAGAAGTTCACCTGCATAGTATCATTAATGCATCCTGTCAGATAAAAAAATATGTAAATTCTACTTCCGTCCAAGAACGATATAATATATAATTTGACATTTCTCCTATATTCTAGGTACCTTGTATAATTAGACAACATTCTTGTATAACTAACTAGTACAATTGTTACTTTTATTATTTGTCATTTGTTTTTTTATCATGACATATTAAATTTTTATCCTTATCTAATTATAGAGACAATTGTAAATTGTTAATTGTCTTTGTACCAACACGGATAAGATTTTATCAGATTTATGGTTTTGTCTAACTATTTTTTTATTCTTGGAATTGGAAATTGCAGATTATATAAATTACAACCAACTAAAACTGTAATTTTAGTATAAAGTATATACAATAATCGTCGTACGAAGGAAGCTAAAATTCAGGCACCTGAATTTTAGCTCCCATAATCTGAGGTCCAGTTCGAGTCAACCTTCTAAATATAACTAAAATTATATAAATAATATTAATATTTACTTCTCTAAATAAATATATTATAAATTTATATTTCATGATAAATATAATGCGGCTTATTTAGTATAATATTAATAATTATTAATATTTCATGACCCCAACATTGGCTACCTCATGCATCAAGTTGAACCTCGATATTCGGGCGAGAGAGATACAACATGACTTATGCACATGGGTCCACGTCGTCTTACGTCCGACGTGAGCACAAATCGTCGAACGATCCCGTAGGTTCACCGCATCGTTGCTTGTGCTTCTTACCCTGCGCGCTCACTCTGTTCGTGAGTTTATATTAAAAAATCACCCATATTTATTCCTTCCACTTCCTCCTCTCCTGTCGCAGCATGTTGTGGCTACCCTCGTCTTGGACGTGGACGCGCACTCTCCTCGCTGCTGCTGCCGCCCCATTCGCCGCCGCTCGCTCGCCCCCATCGCGCGCGCCTCACACCCCTTCCCATCGCACGCGCTGGTGCTGGTGGTGCTCACTCCGCTATCACACGTGCCGTTCGCCCGGGCGAGCCAAACCCAGTGTTGGTGACACTAGTGGCAGTGGTTTTCGCGCGCGCCGCTAATGCTGGATGCTAGGGGTGCTCGCGCACTGCCGCTCGCTGTCGGCTCCCACCTCAACGGCCGAAATTGATCGGCACAGGCGCTCCCCCCTCTTCTATGTTGTAAATATATGTTTCAAATGTTTCAGACGTTTTAAGAATATGTTGCTGTTGTTTCATATAGATGTTGCAAAAGTAGATCGGGGATGTTGCACATGTTGTATATATTACAAGTGTTGCAGAGGCATGTTGCAAGCATTTGTTCAAAATATTTCATCTGTTCCATATCTATTTTGCAAGTATTTTGATCTGGATATTGCATATGTTTCACACATATGTTGTAATAATATACTCTAAATGTTTCATTTGTTCCTGTCTTTCGTTGTAGCAAGTGTTTTCATGTTGTAAGTTGCAAGTATTTTATCTAGATGTTGCATATTTTCACACGTATGCTACAAGTTTTATGTTATAGATGTTTAATCCATTTCAGACGTATGTTGCATTCAAGTGTTTTGTATTTCACGTGTTTCATGCTGTTAGGAGAGTTAGGGGGCGTGGGGGAGTGATGGTGGCATGGCATGGGTGCGGGGGAATGGGGCGGGCGAGTCGGTGGTTGGCGGATGTGCCGCGCGGTAGGGGCGATTTTTTTATTCACCTTTTTCAAAAAACAATTTTTAAAATTAATACTGTTGCATTTTTATTAATCTAACACGTTCGGCGCCCCTAAATCTGTAGTGCGGTCAAAACACGCTGTCGTGTAACATGTATCGGCGCGGCACGATCTGCCACGGTGGACAGCGATTTCAGGTGGAAAAGCTTGCCGCGCCACTCCGTTGGCACGGTAGCACTATAGCGTCGCGCCAACCAGACTGGCGCGACAAGCGTAACCTTAGAAAAATTATATCTTTTTTATACAATCTCGGATGAAGATGATTTTTATATAAAAAATATAGATATTGACGATATCTACAACTTTTTAATTTTGAATTTTTTAGTTTGAGGTCGTTAAGATGCTCAAAAAAATTAATCAAATTTTCAGCAGAATATTAATCGCGTACAAGTGCTTCCAGTCATGAAAAAATCATATATTTTTTGTATGGTGTCAAATAGGGATACTCGAAAGTTGTAGCTTTCGATAGGATCTACAATTTTATAGTTTTGAGTTTTTTCATTTAAGGTCATTAAGATGCTAAAAAAATTAATATAAAATTTCAGCAGCATATTAATCACATACAAGCTCTGTTGCCTGAGAAAAATCATATCTTTTTTGTAGGATGTTAAATGGAGATCTTTTTATATAAAAGTTATAACTTTTGATGAAATCTATAACTTTATATTTTTATGTTTCTTCATTTGAGGTCGTTATCCTAGACGTGCGATGTAACTGATTAGTGATTACTAATCGAGAGTCGACTCGGGAGTCCAGATGCTGACCAAATACATTAGTCCATATCAACACAAAAAAATCATGACAATAGTAACATGATATTGCGTCCATTTAGAATTATAATTGTAATAAGTACCTAATAATTACAACGCCATAGAAGATTATTACAACCAAAAAATCGTGACAATAGAAACATGCCAATGCAACCATTTCATAATTCTTATTGCACATGCCAATGCAACCATTTCATAATTCTTATTACAATAACCATCTAGCAATTGCAACATCACTAAAGGTTATTGTAACCCGGAATAACTATGGCAATAGTTACAAGCAAAAGCAACCAAATTTAATATAGTTATAATAACACCAAATAATTACAACGAAAATTAATACTAATATAACTCCAAAGAGCCATGGCAACAATGTCAATTAATTGCAACACAATTCTTAAATGGTTGCAGTAGCACACACCTATTACAACAACAAACCACACATATTGCAACACATTTAGTTCATTACACTATAGGCACATGTTGCGACCATTTTACGAAAAGATTGCAATACGACTCCCGTATGGCAATTAAATTAGTGATGTTTGTAATCGTGTGACGTGGCATTAGAGGTGAATCCTTGCAGTGAAGTGTGCTGCAACCTTTCTTGCTCCCTCTCGCGTGGTCATCTCTTCCGTACCCTGTTCCTCGACCTAAAGTGTGCTGCAACGATATTTATGAAGATAACTTTAATATAATATAGTTTAAAGTTATCTTCACGAATATCGTTGCAGTAGTGAAGTGTGAATGGCTCAAAGTATTTGTATAAATATAATATAAGGTACCAGGTGATTCATGGTGGGGCGCGCCGAGCCAGGACCACGACGATCGAGGTGGTCCGCGTCCCCGGCCGGCGGCCCCTAACGTTGCTCGCCCACCAGCCCGTACCGCACGTACACTGTGCTATAGACGCGCAGGGCCAGGAGCGCGAGGGACCAGCCGTGCCCGTGGCTGGGGTGGGCTCGTGCATTGCATTGGGACGGCATCCGATGGGTAGGTAGGCGCCAATGGATATGGATCAGGCGGGGGGAGCAGGGAGCGGCATGGCAGGCGGGCACACAGGCCTGTTTAGTTTTCAAAAAATTTTACGCAGTATCTATTACATCAAATCTTATAGTATATGCATAGAGTATTAAATATAGATGAAAAAAAACTAATTGCACAGTTGGGTGAGAAATCGTGAGACGAAACTTTCAAACCTAATTAGTCCATAATTAGACACTAATTGTCAAATACTCCCTCCATCCTAAATTGTAAGACGTTTGACTTTTTTTGTCCTAAGTTTGACCACTCGTCTTATTCAAAAAATTTATGCAAATATAGTCAAATTTAAGTCATTTTTAAAGAATTTTTATTAATAAACCAAATCACGACGAAAGAAGTGATATTTTACACAAATTTTTGAATAAGACGAGTGGTCAAACTTGATGTAAAAAAGTCAAACGTCTTATAATTTGAGATGGATTAAGTACAAACAAAAATGCTACAGTAGTCAAAACCCAAAAAATTTTGCATCTAAACGCGTTAGCTGAGCTGCCGTCCTCACAACTTGGGCTGCAGAACAACGGGCCGGCGCGCGCGTGCCTCACGTTGCCGTGTCCGTGTCCACTAGCCGCGCCTGTTACTGTACTGATGATGGATGGGAT